GTACTAAAGAGTTTTTATAGAATATAGACTTCTTGAGTGATCTAAAAAGCAAAATGAATACTTTAGTACCCAGGGTATCAAAAAAGTGTCCCAGAACTCCCTTTTTCACCCTACTACAATTTAAGGGATAGAATTCAAAAAAAAAAACTTGAGCAAGTTTATCCAGATAGGTGCCAAAATATATTCAACCAAAGTTTTTGTAAACTTCAAAATATCTATCAAATATAAGCTGTAACAAAATTATTTACAAACTTTGATCAAAAATATCTTGGCACTTACTTGACCAAATTCAATCAACTTTTTTTTACTTAAATTATAGAAAGTTGTAGAAGTTAAAGAAAAAAATTGATTGAGTTTGGTCAGGTGAATGACAAGATTTATTCAATCAAAGTTTTTGTAAAATTCAAAATGTCTATCAAATATAAGCTGTGACAAAATTGTTTACAAACTTTGATCGAAGATATCTCGGCACTCACCTAACCAAATTCAATCAAATTTTTTCTTTGTATTTTACATTTTGTATTATTTATTTCTCCCAGAAAATAAATACGTAATCCCCAGGAGTATATCACTAGATGTTAATCGAACTGCATGTATCATTATTTAATCATGTGTAACTATATATATGATGATCTTTTTTTTTACTACACTTTACTTTATTTTGCTTTACTTTAATTCATTTTACTTTAATTTGCTTTACTTTATTTGCTTTTTACTTTTCAATTTACTTTAATTCACTTTACTTTTTACTTTACTTACTTCACTTATTGTATTTTACTTTGCTTTTTTATTATTATTATTTTTTTTACTTATGTATTTACTTATTATTACATATTTATTTCTTACTTTCATTTTATTTTTACTTTTACTTTACTCTTCTATTTTCACTTTAACTTTACTATATTTTATTTCTGCATACTTTATATTATTTTGCTTTTATAGTTTTAAACTAAAGAAAAAAAAAAAGGCCAAGCATAATTTATGATTTGTCTCATTAACTAAAAAAAAAGTTAAAGAATTTTAGCAAACATCAAGAAATAAAAATACTGATAAGTCAATAAAAATTTAAATGAACTTACTTTATAAGTTTTGCAAATTACATGGATATTTGAAAAATATTAACGAACTTAACAATAAAACACTATTAGAGCAGCTTGAGCAATTTATTATTAAAGTTCATAAATCAAATAGCCAAAAATATAAGGCTTTTTCACTTTATACAGGATTTTGTGCAATTGTACAAAGAATTTCTGAAGATTTCAAAACTATAAGAATTGTAAATTTGTTTAATAAATATCAGTTTAAGAGTTTGTATAGAACTTTAGATAATTGTATAAATCAATTGTCAACAAAGGAAATAACAAGTGTAAACAATTTGATCCTTTAGAGATTGATAAAATTAAACTAATACTTAACTTACTAGCAATATTAACTAATAATGCAAAAGAACTTTTATGAAGAGTATAGCTTTGAATATCATTACTATGCTACTTAAGAGGTGGTGATGCCAAACATTTGAAGGCTTCTTGGTTTAAAGAATTGAATAATGGTAGAATGCAACTCAAACTACCTAAAGAAAAAATCATGCTAGTGGCATTAAAGATCCATACACTGAAGCTAGTTCTAGTTTTATACCACTTAACATTCTAAAAAATACTTATACTCCAGTTGCAGATATTAAAAAATACTTGTCAAAGTGACCAAATAGTGCTTGCACAAACTCAAATTAAATCAAACTTTAGATTAAGTTTGAGTTTGATTTGAAGTTCAAATCAAACTCAAACCAAACTATTTTTTTTAAATATTGCTTGATTTGAGTTTGAAATCAAACTTTCAAAAATAGTTTGGGTTTGGTTTGAGTTTGATTTGTAAGTTTGCAAATATGTTTGGGTTTGATATATATTGTGTAAAACAAATAAATGACCTGCCTGCCCAGACTTTTATTTAAAAAATTTAAAAATTTTTTAGATTATAAAATTAAAATTTTATTTTTATAAAGCTATAACTAGGAAATACATAATAGAATTTTAGACAAATCTATTGAACCAGTTCCAACTAGATATGAGACTAGACGGACTGTTAAACTAATTAAATATAAATTATAAATTATTATATATTTATTTATACTGACTTATGATTTTTATAATTTGAATTCTGAAAATTATATATAAAATATCAAACATAAAGTTATATAGTGCACTTGCAAAGCTTATCAGCTAAATACTTTTTTATCAATTCAGTCTTTAATTTAAAATAAAATAAAAAATAAAAAATCAACCTGTAAATAATAATATGTCAAATTATTAGTATTCAAATATTCAATAAATGAGTATTCAATAAATTTATCTAAATATTAATTTAATTTTTTTTACCCAATTTCTGAATATTAAAAAAGTTAGATTAATAAATATCTAGATGATTAGTTTTAACTAGATCAGATTATATCTCAAGATTTAATTCTTTCAGGATTGTTTTTACAAAGTGCATCAATTAATTCATTTCATTCTTCTGACTATTTAAACTCAAACATGTTTGGCAAACTTCAAATCAAACTTGAATCAAACTTATAAATTGTGTTTGAGTTTGGTCTGAGTTTGGTATTACAAGTTTGAGTTTGAGTTTGGGTTTGAAATCAGTAAAAATTTGCTGTTTGAGTTTGATTTGAG